TCTGTACTCTGATCCCTAACTCTGGTTTTGGGAGAATAGTAGAGGCCCTTAAGAGGCTCCCTGCAGTCAGTATGCCTTTTCTGAATCCTCTTTCCTGCAAGGCAGGGATGGGTTGTACTGCTGCCCCCAGATGCATGGACACACTGAGCAGGTAGAGAAGGCATGCTTCTGTCTTAGGCTACACAGTCCCAAGTCAAAGAGGGAGTCAACCAGACATGGCTACCCGTAGTTTCCTCGGTCAGGCTATGGAGGAGTCATACAGGCCTATAAGTCAAATCTCATCTCTGAGGGCTATTAGCACATGCAGGGAGCTTTGAAACCGAAAACGTGGTGGTGTATAAAACTCCTCCAGGAACCCTGGCCGAATCATGGAAAACCTCCTCTCTAAAGTACCCTTAACTATAAGTGAGAAGAGCAAGGAATAAAGAATGTGGAGGGAGAGGAAGAGAAAGGGTGTTTATCTTGGAAGGACATTAGAGCATCCTGATGTCACCTTAAGTGGCCACCCAAGTAAAAATTTATTGGAAACATTAGGGGAAAATTTAGAGAAAAAAATAACAAATTATCATGCTGGCAGATTGAAAAGTCCAAGATGATAAGCAGATGGATTGGGGAATGGCTCAGAGAGTTCCTTTAGGGGACTGGAAGGGAGGGAGAAAAGTAAAAGATGGGATTTAATAGAATAATATACCGGATAAAATTGGCTTCTGAGTTCTTATCTCTAATCAAGAATATGCCAGACCTCATTTTGAAAGCTCCTGCTAACAAATGTGTGTACACAGGCACACAAGATAGAAGCAAGAGTAGTTCCCAAATTGTTCAGCCTTTTTAGGTAAGGCCAGAATATTCATTAATGGTGTTGTTAGACACATCCACCTCTTATTTACAGTTCTTCTCAAGGAGGGGCTTCTGGGACACTGTGCTGTGAGCCATACCTAGGTTCGACACTGATCTTCATCCAAAGGAGAAGTGAATGCATCTTTTTTTACCGTGTAGCTGATGGGTAGCTGGTCGAGATTCCTTATTTGTTTCTCTTAGCCCTCAGAGACCACCTCATTCTCTACTATCTGTGACAGTGACAGTTCCTGTACTGCAATGAAGTTGATCTATTTTCCAACCTAATCAGAACACAAGAGATCAATACCTGTCCCTGATAGGGTCTATTGCTCCTGAGCAGTGTCAATACCCATTAAGGAAGCTGATTAAAATCTCAGCTCAGCTGGAGGCTGAGGGATGAAGTCACCAGTGAGACAGAACTCTTCTCCCTGTGCCAAAGCTTTGCTTCTGTGAAACTCCCCTCCTCCAAGTGCCTGCAACCTCCACCCTGCTCTACATCCAAAGCCCTCAACCTTCTGCCTCCTTCCCCCACAGCATGCAGGCTACCTCTACTTCTAGGGCCTTTGCCCTTTCACTCCACTTGCGCTGGCTCTGCAGAGGTCTTGTGAGAGCCAAGTGCTGGTCTATGTGATGTGGCTGTGTGGACTCCAGGTTTGTCCACACATACTGCTTTGGTGGTTTCCTTTGCAGACTTGATTTGAAGGAAAGACCATCTTGAATAGCACTGGAGCCTCCTACTTCTATTAGCCCAGAATCCAAGGGAGGAACTCAGTGGAACTAAACACTGAGGGTTTTGTAGAGGAAAATTCTCACACTGCTGCTGAGTTTATGAACCAGCTGTTGTGAAGCAGAAATGCAATTCGTCTGCTGTCTGGGTATGAAGAGCCAATGCAGATCAATTCCAGAAAGCTGAGGAAAGGGAGTTGAAGAAACCTATGAAGCAGCAGCTCTATTTCCTATTTAAACAATTGTCCGAAGGCTGCTTGCAACAACCTGCTTTCTATCCATTTCCCCAGGAGTTCCAATTTCCACCTCTGCAGGTCTTAATATTCTTAACAACCCATCAGGAGGGAAAGCAATTGTAACACCATTCAATTACCCTCAATCTTAAATTCACTTTCCAACAAAGGATAAGAAGTCAACCTTGACATGCTGATGTTAAAACAGTTGAAATCCAGAAGAAAACAATAATCTTTGCTCTTGAATTTTTGAAGTTACAAAGAATTTTAGAGGCAGAAATTCCAAGTTTAAAGAAATATCTTAATCTTTCTAAGAATGAATAAACCATAGAACTTTAGGCCAAAGGACTCATAAGGATTATATAGTCCAACCTCATTTCACCGACAGAGAAGGTGGTTTGCCCAAGGTCACATGGATAGTAAGCATTGACCCTGAAATCCAGATGTTCCAACTCGTAAGAGTCTTATCTTTTGATGCCACCTTATTCTGCCCTCAAAGCTGCCTTACTTACCGGGTTAGAGTAACTCACAGCCTTTGAGGACCCACCTGCCTTAAAAATCAGTATAGTGACCAAGACTTGCAGTGATAATTAGACCTAGATTTACGCCGATTATACCACTGCTGACTGATGACCCCTGATGAGACCTCTGAGGAGAGGATACCAGGGTTCCTGCAGTGTTACCTCATTGCCAAGCTCCCATGGAACCAGTGGCTCCTCTGGTGGGATAAAGCTTGGAATTGCCCTTTCCCATTGGCTTAGTTGCTAAATCCTTTAGGCTTTCCTTTTTGAGGCGCAAAGTAGCCTGGGAAGTGAGTAACTGGAGACGCTTTAATTTGTTCTCTCTTCTCCAGACTTCTGCGCTCCTGTGCGCCCTTCATGATGAGAGCCGACACTGTCAGGGCCTTCTGACCAGTGGCCAGGACTGAAACGTGAGCCTTTCTCTCAGAGGAGATAGTGGCTGTCTTGGCAAGGAAAGGCTGCAAAAGGCTAGAAATCCAGAGACCTAACAAAGTAAATGGCTCTGGGAGTTCCTTCTTCCTTCATCTCTGATTCAATTAAATGCTCCTGGTGCTGGAAAAGTAGTCAGTAGCACACACACTGGGACTCACAGACTATCAGGGGAGGTTTTAGTGTCCTTGCTTCCTGAGTGGTCTAATAAGCACACATTTTGTTTGGGGCAGGAAGAATGGGCAACATGTTCCAAAATAGAGTTCTAAAACCTCACCAGTGGCCTCAGATAGCAATAAATGCACATAGGTTTTCTTAAACATGGAGCGGGAACTAGGATAAAAACCAAGGAAAGCCCAGAAGAGAAGCAAATACATCTGGGAGTTGGATAGAAAGAGACAGGGAGATTCTAGGGAACATCAAATAAGAATGGCCCAGGAAAGAACCTAGTGTACCAAGTACACCCAAGGCATGTCTACTCTTCAGATTCTTTAGTGGCAATGCCCTGAGATTTGCAAAACTCTTCTACCAGTGACTGGGATGGGGTTAGGGGTCATATCCTCGAGCTATCTGGAAAAGGATCAGCAGCCCTGGAAAGATAAAAAGGCAAACTTCAGCCAGAGAATCTCTGGAATGGCTGTATCATTACTCCCAAAAGTGTGGTTCAGTTTTTGAAAAATCTAAAATTAGCTAGAACAAAGGGTGCAAAGCTGTGCTGAGAGCACTCTTTCCCATGTTGATAGTTCATGTAAAGACTCTGCAGTGACAGACTAAGCCCCACGTGTGGGCCAGGCCTGCCCAGCTTGAACATCTAGAGTGCTCATGAGTACAAAACCAGCAGGTAAGGACTGAGGTTTGTGGCCACTGAAGAGACTAAAGATAGGTGACTGTTCACCCAACACAATGATGCTGGCTATTAGAAGGCCTGTAACTACCACCTCATGGGGTACAGTTCAAGAAATGGTATTTTATTTTTATTTTTGGAGCAAGACCAGAATTTGGAGTTTATCTAATAAAATTAATTGCATAAGAGAAAGTACCTGAAATTATCTGGGATGGTTTATACTTTCATGAGTTCTTGACCAAAGAATCCAGTATTCCTGAGATTAAAAAGTTTATATATGGCTCGGCGCCTGTGGCTCAAGTGGCTAGGGTGCCAGCCACATACACCTAAGGTGGTGGGTTCAAGTCCAGCCTGGGCCCGCCAAACAACGATGACAGCTGCAACCAAAAAATGGCCGGGTATTGTGGCGGGTGCCTATGGTCCCAGCTACCTGGGAGGCTGAGGCAGGAGACTCATTTGAGCCCAGGAGTTGGAGATTGCTGTGAGCTGGGATGCCACGGCACCCTACCCAGGGTGACACAGCTTGAGGCTCTGTCTCAAAAAAAAAAAAGTTTATACATTTCTTGTCACAAGGAAAATTGTCTGGCAATAAGAGTCACCTTTAACATGAAAGGGCCATGTGAAGCAGCAGGGGTGTAAAGCCAACCTAAAAGTTTTGAGAATCTGCCTCCAACACTTGAAAAGCACAAACAGATCTGAAGGGAATTTCTGTAATCTCTTTACCTGGCTTCTAACCCAATTTTGAAAAAGAAGCAAGATTTCCCCTTCCCCAATATCCAAAATGTGCCAGGATAATCATTTAGTCAATACCTCGTTTTGATTTCCTCTCCTTGGAATGAAGGAAATGATTATAGTAGAAGAGATGAAATTTCTTACTCTAATTTAGCATTCCCTGAAAACTGAGCTCACAGGACTCCCCTGACAATACAAGTCCCCAAACAGTAGTAGCTTCTCTTGAAAAAGTGGTTGGAAATAGAGAGAATTTTGTATACTCTAAAAATGGGGTTTTGCCAGAGGAGATATAGGGTGGCCATAAAGTTCGTGTGCAATTTAAAATTACACACTATTATATATACTATTTTGTATATATCTATATATACTATATATATATATACACTAATATATAACACCCTGTATATCTCCTGTCCTGGAACTAGGACCTTGAATTATAGCTTCTGGTTTAAAGACCATGTGATGTTACAGAGGTCCAGGGAGAACTATTCTGTCATTTTCAAATAAGAAATTAACAGCCAGTGGCAGGAAACATATATATTAAGAGAATGGGCCACTCTAAGAACTGAATATTACTGGCAACCTGAAAATGATGATTGAAATGACCTGAACATTCAAAATGAACCAAGGAATAAAACTCCTACAAAATGAAAATACTGTAAGTATTAATATTGGGTCATCAGGAATTAATGGTTTAAGTTTATGCTGGACTTATGGAATATTCTGTCCAGGTCTGATATTTTAAAAGGCTGTTTTTGTCTAGAGGAGATGCAACAGGCAAGAAAAGCATGCCACGTGAGCAGTTCCTGAAAGGCCACAGGGAACATCAGCTCGAGAAGACTAAGCGGAGACCACCAATGCACACATCTGAAGGGCTGTCATGTTGAAGAGCTGCAAACGGTAGATCAGGACCATGGGAGAACCCATAGGCAGACTTCAGCTCCTAGCAGGAAAACCCTCTGGTCATTAGAGCTGCTGAACTTCGAGTAATAAATACATAGCCACCAGAGGTACCAAATCCTGGGTAAAAGCTCTGGTAGACCTATGACGAAACACTAGAAAGCTGGACCAAATGACCTCCCGGCCTAAAATTCCATGACTCTCATCCATGGGTTGAAAAATACCTCATTCCTTTAAACCTCTATTAAACACTATTTCTCCTGTTAGCTCTAAGAAAGCACATGTCTCTCCTCTAAATCTAACCACTGGAAATACCAAATTCTCCACCATTGCTGCAGTACAATGGGCTGCTGACTTCTACCTCCCTTGTCACCATGCTGCAAGTGTCCTCAGATAATGTACTTTCACCATACGTCTTTCCTGCCTTCACCACTCCCTAGCCCATCTCCCAACAATCTACCCTCCCCACCTCTTACTCCTCCCTATACTGACTTCATTTCTCCTTAGGAGCAGGTGCCAGAGTGAAGAGAAGAAAACGAGGACAAAGGGAAGTGAGGCAGACTCGGGTATTCAAAGCCCACATTTTCTAATAGAGAAAATCATTTTGTAGGGAGAAGGTAGGTGGCAGATGAGAACCATGGGCTGACATGTATGCTGTGGTATGGCTTTTCAAGGAGAGGGCTGGGGGTGCCACCATCAAGGCACCAAAGTGATGATTTTATAGTCTCCAAAATAATGATTTCCCACAATGGCCAAAGACAAGTGAGGTTGGGTGCTTTATTCTAGCTTTTCTATGGAGCAGGGAGAAAAAAAATGAAAGGATAAAAAGAAGGGAATAAATGAAGCCAGGGCCACCTGAGCCTTAGAAAAAGAGCTAGGCATAAGAGAGAAATAGAAATTAAGACTAGTCAGGGATATTAATGGGTTGTTGACAGAAAACAAAACAAGTCAGTTCCTGAGAGGTGAAGATTAGAGAGCAGAGTCACTGCTACCTCCATAGCTCCAAAGCCTGTCTGATGATTAATTTACCATCTTGCTGTTTCTCTTGGCACCCCAGACAGGATCCTGCTGACTACCACAAGACTCACCTATGTCAGAGGACACTGGGCCAGTGTAAAAAGCAGAGGAGTACTGGTTCTGGTAGAAGCCTTACATGCTTGAACCAAATCCAATGTGGACAAAGTAGCTGAGCAGAGGAAGCTGGGGGTCCACAGCCGAGCCTGGTGTACTCCCCAAGGCCTTCTCCAGATGGCTCAAATTATTACAATCATGCTTCAATTTTAAAACTGTCATAAAACTCGGGGTGGGAGTGTGAGAGGAACAGGGCACTGAGAGTGCAGAGAAAATGTACAGTGCAGAGGTGACTTGAGAGGGTCAGAAAGAAGTGTCCTTCCACCAAAACATCCACTCCTTTGGTTGGAAGGCAAGGGCTGGAAAAGAGGGGTGGGGGCAGCAAATGCTGTCCTTTCCCTTCCTCTTAAATTTGGAGGCTAGTCTACTTGGATAGTTTGCTGATGACTCTGATGAGGGCACCATTTTCATCTTTCAGCCTCTGGTTGTCAGACTTCAGTTCTGTTAACACCTGTAGGGTGACAGAGGAAAAGGTATGTTAGAGCCTGGCAGGATCCCCGCCAGGCAGTCCAACGAGCAGGGCCTTCTGACACAGTGTAAGGAACAACCTGTCCCTGCCCCTTCACCCAGGGATGAAATTCCCTTGAATCTTCCTGTTTATGGAGTTGGTGATGTTAATATTTAAGGAGACCAGGGCACTTCTATCTTTTGAACTAACATATTTAGCAACAATATCTTACTTCTTTGTATGCAGGCTTCATGTTCTACACTCTATATCCTTTCATTCTATTTTTGATTGCTCGTGTCCTTGAACTTATCTCCAGTCTAGAGAATTGGGGAGAGTGCCAAAGTAGGCTGGTGAGGACATAGGGAAAGAATTCAGAAAGGAGTGGGGAGGGGGTGTTCAACTAAAAGAGTTAAAGGAAAATAATGCCTTATACCCCATCAAAAATAAGAATGCAGGTCACAGAGGCAGAACGTGGCTTTCCTGCCCTGTGCAGGAGATGAGTTAAGGGTCCTCTTCTTGGTGTCTTTGGTGAGGAGACGCCATCAAAATTCTCACTGGTCATACAAAGCATATCCACTTTCAACCACTAAAACCCAGAAAACTTACAGTCTCAGAGCTGAGCTATGAAGCACAGTGAACTCTAGGCACATATTTAATTCTCTCCAAAGGTCCCCATTACAAGGGACACCAAGAGGCTTTATCAGCAGTTAGTGGGAATGGTGTTGTAATTCCAGTAAATAGATACTTAAAGGGCAGGGAAGAGAGCAGAGGTTGAATTCTATCAGTTCTGTCATCTTGGAACACTACACATACTGTTGTCTAACATGAAAAGAAAAATAACAGCCCAAGCCTGGATATCCAAGTCTTTATTATGTCATTAGGCACTTTGACAAGTATGTTGTACATCTGAAAAATCCTAATAGGATATTGTTAAGGGTACACAGTTCATGTGTGGGCCCCACTGGCAGAAAGGGAGTTTTAGGTTAGAGGGTGAGTACATCTCCACTATGAAGACTACAGAAATCTATACCCATGTCTGTTCAACTCAGATGTCCTTTGATTAGTCATCTAAACTTAAGAGGACCTTAGTGGCAGACAAGGCCCCAGTAAAGAGTGATTAGGTCTGAGGTGCTATGAGGCCTGTTTAATTCTAGCTCTGGCTCTGCGTTAACCATTTAGAGCAGTGGTTCTCCACTTGTGGGTTGCGACCTGCAGGAACTGTATTAAAAGTGCTGTGGCATTAGGAAGGTTGAAAGCCACTGACTTAGAGGATTTTCTTTCTTTTTTTTTTTTTTGCAGTTTTTGGCCTGGGGCTAGGTTTGAACCTTTTACCTCCAGTATATGGGGCTGGCGCCCTACTCCTTGGGCCACAGGTGCTGCCCTGACTTAGAGGATCTAATTGTACCTTAAGTAATATAATCTTTGTTTCATCAAATCTCTCAGGGAAGATGTACGTTAAATTATAATTCTTTAAATTTAAAGATTTATATCAGGGAAACAAAAGGAAAGCACTATCGAATATCTGTAATGTGGAAGGCACTATGCTAGAGGGTCTCAGCAGGGCCTCGTGAGACTGTGGTGCAGCCGCTATTCTCATTTCTACACTTGAGGAAATGAACTCCATAACTAGTTCAAGGCACTCAGCTATTAAAGGTAAAGCTAATATTGGACCCAGGTGTGCATGACTTGAAAATTTATTCTTTTATTATAGGTGGGGTAGGGTAGGGTGGAAGAAAACACACCGAAAACTTTTGTAGCCACCAAAGTGAAATTCCAGCATTATCATTGTCATTACAGATCTCTATTAGTTTACGCTAATCACAGGACTTCTCTGTTCCAGAAACAATAATCCTTGTCCCTTCTCTCTCCAAGTGGGGACTCTGAGAGGCCCACGTGAAGTAACAGATGTGGAAGTGTGCTAGGTGTAATAAGCTGTGTGACACTGAGTATTTCTTTTTTTTTTTTTTTTTTGAGACAGAGCCTCAAGCTGTCCCCCTGGGTAGAGTGCTGTGGCAAATCAGCTCACAGCAACCTCCAACTCCTGGGCTCAAGTGAGTCTCCTGCCTCTGCCTCCCAAGTAGCTGGGACCATAGGCCCCTGCCACAACGCCTGACTATATATTTTTTTTTTGGTTGCAGCCGTCATTGTTGTTTGGCGGGCCCAGTCTGGATTCGAACCTGCCACCTTAGGGGTATGTGGCTGGTGCCTTAGCCAATTGAGCCACAGACACCGAGTCAGACACTGAGTATTTCTACTACTTCTACTGCCACTGTGAGTATTCCCCTGAATAGCAGGAAGGCTGGCAAGTAATCAACAAACTTTACTAAGAAGATTTTAATTTAGAAAATACAAAATAAGTCAAAATCCTGAAGAACATTTAGGAGATTAAATTTAAAAAAAAAGTATCAAGAGTTTCAGTACTGGGTCCGTGAGTAGGGTGCCGGCCACATACACCAAGGCTGGCAGGTTCGAGCCTGGCCTGGGCCTGCTAAACGACGACAACTGCAACCAAAAAGTAGCCAGACGTTGTGGCTGGCACCTGTAGTTCCAGCTACTGGGGAGGCTGAGGATAAAGAATCACTTAAGCCCAAGAGTTTGAGGTTGCTGTGAGCTGTGACACCACAGCACTCTACCGAGGGCAACATAGTGAAACTCTGCCTCAAAAAAAAAAGAGTTTCAGTCCTTTGATCCTGCCTCTTCTACCTCTCATTCAATCAAAGCAGTCCTGGCTGTCCTCTCATGCCTTTATTCCTGAAGCCTTACTTACCAGAACTGGGCACTCAGAAACTCATTTCACTAAGATCTTTAGAAAAAAAATCACCCTAGAGTGGCCTCATGTTTTCACTTCCCTATCTGCTCTTTAGTGCCTCATCCTAGGCCTGTAGCCTGGGTATCCACAAGACTCTGAAAGCTACATTTCCCTAGTAGGATTCCCCAGGTGGGAAAAAGCTATATATGGCAATAGGTTGCATTTCACTATTTAGCAGCTCACCAAATCAGAACTAAGCTGCCTTTTTAAAAAAATGTACAAACAACTCATAGAGTTTTGGTGATTTATTTCAACGTTAAGAACTCAAATTTTTGAAAAAAAAATTGGATAAGGCAATTTCACAGCTGCAACATGCTCCAGTTGACATCTTAAGGGAGTGTCAAACAGTATAAGAAATGGAATGTAGAAATCAAGGGGGGGGAGCCTCATAAACTGCACTTTCAAAAGAGAAGAAGTGAACAGTGTTGATCTGATATTCACTTGAAGTTAAAAAATAATCCAATAAGAATATAAGTGAAAGTACTATATAAGTATGTGGTTTAACAAAGCCTTTATCATTTTAACTCTCTGGAGCTCAGCTTCTTAATTTCTAAATTTCCAGCTTACTACTTCAGTTTGATGTTAAAGATACCTTAGATATGGGGCTGCGCTTGTGGCTCAAAAGGGTAGGGCGCCAGCCCCATATGCCAGAGGTGGCAGGTTCAAACCCAGCCCTGGCCAGAAAAAAAAAGAAAGAAAGATACCTTAGACAGATAAAATTAAGTAGAAGTATTCTCAAATACCACTTCTTACAAGCTTTAATGAGGAATGTGTTAAAGAGGAATAAGATACAGTTAGGGGTCCTGAAGCTTTAGACACTAAGGGCAATGCTAGCTGCTGGGTGAGAGGGTTTCAGAAAGAGTCTTGCCTGAGCTTGCTTCCAGCTTCAAGAGAAGTGAGGCCCCCCTTTATATTTTGTTGACAAGAGGCTGGCTCTGTAAGTTGAGATAAAATGATTTCTCCAGGAAACTATTAATGAAAACCAAAGTGGACAAAATCTCTTGATCACACTGCCAGTTTGGTTGTTAACTCATCCTTCTTCTAGGCAGGGGTCAGCAAACTTTCCCCATAAAGGGTCAAATAGTAAATATCTCAGGTTTGCAGGTCATACAGTCTCTGTTGCAACTATTCAACTCTGTCGTCGTAGCATGAAAGCACACACAGACATGATAATAGTCAATAAACATGATTCAGTTCCAATAAAACTTTATTTTTAGACATTGGAATGTGAATTCCATATAATTTTCATGTGTCATAAATCATTATTCTTTATTTCTTTTTTAACTATTTGTATGGCTCACGGGCTATATTAGAAGGTCACAGTTTGCTGACCTCTGTAATAGAAAGTCACATACCAGGCAATGGCTTTCTTTACGAGGTAAAAAGCTCTCTGGAAGTTAATCTCTGAGAGAGAAGTCAGACGCTGGGAAATCAGAATACTACTTTCTCCATCAGTAGCAAAGCCAGGGGCACACTGTAGTTGCTCAATAGATTCTTCTTGCATTGTTTAGACTGTATTCTTAGCAAACAGTCAAAACTTTGTGCCAAGTATGCAGGCAGCTTGTATTACAATGGCTAAAAGCTTGGACTCTGAAACCTGACATTACTGGGTTTGAATTTTGGTTCTGCCACTTAATTTCTGAATGACCTTGGGTAAGTTAATTTGTGACTCAGTTTCTTCAAAAGCACAAAAATTATTTGGGGGGATAAGTGAGAAAAACCATATACAACACTCAGCACAGGTCTTAATAAATGAGAACTATTATGGTTATTTACTACTGAAAGCATGAGATCTAGTTTTGCCCCATATCCTGTACTACCTTACAACAAAGAGGGAAACTAAAAATAACTGAAACATATTTTGGGGGTCCTTAATTCATCCCAAGTCAAATTTTCCAGGAATCTTGAGGCTAATTTTAAAGCACGGAGTTTGGACCTACCAAGACTGGCTGTTTACTGCCAGCCTATAGTAGGACTTCCCTTTCAATTTTCTTTCTGTCTGAAATTGTAGGATATTAGCTCAGCCTTTATGGTCATTTGGGTGCTTCAATTCTAGAAGATAGTAGTGGCCAGCTACTGGCCCTGGAGGCAAAAGCAAATAGGCAGAAAAAAGAACAGGCCCTGGTCAGGACTAATTCGATTGTTGCTACAAATTAAAAACTCATTTTAGAGACCCTATCATACCATCTTCAGA